CTGGAGACCTGACCCTGCAGAAAAGATTAGTTCTTTTTCTTCACCACCCACATCTGAAGTGGTGGCAAAGAGTTCATCATTTTGTGAGCTCCATACGAAAAGGATGGCATAGAAGCCAGTCCATTTTGTCTCACATAAGAGGGGTTAGAGTAAGCATAAGAGTAAGCAGAGAAATTCTTCGAGGACTTATGGACATAATGATTTGAAGAATAATGCACATATCCATAATCCTTAGATCTTCCCTGCAAAACAGACGGGTTAGCATGATGATGTTCATATGAGGACTTTGATCCATATGAGGAATTTGGTCCATATGAAGAATTCGATCTGGGGTTCCTATTCTTCACATGTGGTGTCATGATGACATTCACCTGAAGATTTTCAAGACATCTTTTGGGAACCCAGATTTTCTTCATAGGGGAGCCGTTCCTACAGTTAGTGTCAACATATCCAGCAAATACTTCACCATTCTGATTTTTGAATAGCTTATAGTTGGAGTCAATTGACTCATCATTAGAATGAGGAGATTCACATGCAAATCCAGATAAGTTAGATGGATCAACTAGAGGTCCCTTTGCAGCAACCCATGTAGTTTTGGGATACTGCTCAGGCTTCCAATATGTACCATCAGCATTGAGTTTCCTCTCAAAGGCGATACCCTCTTTCCTAGGGTTCCTGTTGAGGATCTGCTTTTTAAGCACATCACAAAGCGCCTGATGCCCTTTGAGGCTTTTGTACATGCCTGTCGTGTACAATTCCTTCAGCCCTGCATCGTCAGTGATACTAGCAATGTCCTCAGATGTGGAATTAGTGATAGCAGAGGCATGTGAAGAATTTGAAACATTAGCAGCATTTGAACATTCAGGTGAAGAATTAGCAGATTCACGTTCAATGCACTTCAAGCATGGTGGAACAAATTCTTCCTGAGAAGCGCTGATTTGTTGAGCAAGTAATGAATCGCGCTCCTTCTGAAGATCTTCATAACTCACTCTTAGCTTCTCAAGGTCTTTCTTTCTTTGAAGAAATTCATAAGAAAGCTTCTCATGGTCAGATAAGAGAGTGTTATGTTGATCTTGAAGGGTGTCATACTTAGTACGAAGTCTCTGAAGACTTTCAGCCAAAGCTTTTGACTGATCCATTTCTTCACCCAACATATCATCGCTCTTGTTTAGCATATAGTGAACTTTTTCCAAAACTCTTTGTTGTTTAGTGGCAAGGGAAGCAAGTTTGACATAGCTGGGTCCAAATTCATCACCAGATTCATCATCACTAGACTCGAATAGGTAGCATTCAGTTACCTCAACATCTTTTGCCATAAGGCATGATGGAGAAGATGATGATTCTGGTTCGAATGTCATCGTTTTGAGAGATTCCTTGAAGTCCTCAAACCAAGGATCATGACAGGTTCGATGACCTTCATAGACCTCAGAGAGACGGTCCCAGATGAGCTTCGCATGATCAAGATGCATGATATTCCTGAACTGATTTTGTGACAGACTGGAGCAGATGACATCCTTCGCCGTGAGGTTTACAAGAGTGTACTTGCGAATGTCATCAGCTTCCGCCATCTTGCACAGATCGGTCAGACCAATCTCAGTGACGGTCCACAGCTCGCTGTTCATCGCCATGAGACGTTTCTTCATCATGGCCTTCCACTTGGGATACTCGTGACTGTCAAAGATGGGGCATGTCACTTTCGTCATACCTACGGTCGACATAACTAAAACTCCAGGCGGTTAAACCAAAATCACATAGAACAAGGGAGTACCTTGCTCTGATACCAATTGAAAGTGCGTTATATCGACTAAAGGGGGGGTGAATAGGCGATTTTTATGAAATTCTTCACTGAGGAATTTGCCGGTGAGGAAATTCCTTAGCGAAGAACTACTAACAGCGGAATAAGTACTCAAAAGTAAACACAACAGAATACAAGCATAGTCAGCATGATGAAATGAAGACAGACACAGAGTACAGGAAGCGTAATCACAGGATGACACAGGATGAAGACAAACAGACTGAAGAAATTGAAGTGAGGAAATTGAGAAAGTCTTTAGTCAAAGTCTTCAAACACAGATATGAACAAACACACAACACAGTTATGAGGAAATGAAAGAGTTGAGGAAATAAAACCAGTAAGCTTGGTGAAGACAATGATTTGGTAGACCAGTTCCAACTGCTGTCTCAGTTGTACGTCTGGTTGGAGCGGCTGAGTATTTAAACTCGAGGACACACAGTCCCGGACACCCAGTCAAGGACACTTAGTCCAAGACACCCAGTCCTCACAGTATTCTCCTTGAACTAAGGTCACACAGACCTCGTCCAATCACTCGTGGTAAGTCTTCAGGCGACTTCCAAACCTTCACACACTTGGTCACTCGGTGATCCACAATTCCTCTTGGATGCGCTAGACCATGACGCCTAACCGTCTGGAAGAAGCACAGTCTTCAAAGGTAACAAGCGTCAGATCCACTCAGGATCAATCTCTTCAGTGATGCTCAATCACTTGGGGTTTGTAGGTGTTTGGGTTTATGGTTTTTGGTTTTTCCTCACTTGATGATTTTCGCTCAAAGTCCTCAGAGGATGGGTTGCTCTCAAATGACAAGTGTCAGTTTCTCTCGGAGCAGCCAACCAGCTAGTGGTTGTAGGGGGGGTCGACTATTTATAGCCTAGGGAGCAGCCCGACATGATAAGACATAAATGCCCTTCAATGATATGACCATTAGGTGGATAGATATTTTGGGACAGCTGGCGCATAGCACAGCAACGGTCGAAATTTTGAGTAGCAAAATCCTCAGGGCTATCATGTTCCTCACTGTGTAGGCAATCCGCACTGGCGAATTCCTAACTCCTCAGTCAGGACAAATTCCTCAGAGACCAAAAGAACTTCGTCTCTGTCACTGAAGAAATTGACTGAACTGTATGAAATTTCCAATGGCTTCACTCGAAGGGATTGGTAGGTGTAGGATTTTGAGTTGAGCATCACATGGAAATTTTTCCTTAGTATTTCCTCGACCCCCTTTAACAGTACAATGTTTCCTATGACTCAAAAAAAAGAAAATGAAACTATGAAAACAAAAGTCTTCTCGCTTCATGTTCCTCGAAAGAATACCAAGTCTTCAAGGTCACACCAATTTCTTCACTTTCAAAGTCTTCAGAAAGTCTTCAGAATACCAAAATCTTCAGTCGAAGATATTCATTTTTAGGGGTCGATTTTTCCTGTAAATATCAAACTCCTCATAGACTTATAGACCTGTGTACACTCACACACGCATTAGTCCCTTAACCTATAAGTCTTCAATACACCAAAATCACTAAGGGGCACTAGATGCACTTACACGCTTAATTCCCGTTCCTTCCCAAAAGAAGCGGGAGCGGGGCATGTCCAATTTAGCGTGAACCCCATCCGCTAACAAGAACATTCCCATGGTGAACATTGGAAGAGAGGATAGGCTAGAGTTAGTAAGGATAAGTCGCCCCGCGGAAGACATAAACCTCCCATGCCACGGGCTCACTCTACCCGCAACCTTTCCATATAAGGGCTCCCACTCCTTAATGGAAAGCCGGCTATGAGAAACCGGTAAGCCAAGGTATTTGATTGGCAAGCTCCCTAGCTTGCAGTTTAGAAGATTTTCCACTCTCGTACTCTCTTGGTCATCCATCCCCATGGTTATGACCTCGCTCTTAAAGAAATTGATTTTGAGCCCAGATAAGGGTTGAAGGCAAGCAGCAGCAGCTTGATCGAGGCTATGCTATTCTCGTCAGGCTCAAAAAGTAGCATCGTGTCGTCAGCGTAATGAAGGTGCATAACCCCTCCCGGGATCAGGTGAGACACCAACCCTTTGATGTGCCCTGCCGAGCGAGCCCCATGCACCATAGCAGATAAAGCGCCCGCAACAAAATTAAAAACGATTGGAGACAGGGGGTCTCCTTGTCTTAGGCCTTTTTTGTCGTGGAAGAATATGCCCACCTCCCCATTAATAGAGACCGCCGTTTGTCCACAATTAATCAGGTTCATGGTACGGTGGACAAAACCAGCGTCAAAACCTTTTTTTAGGAAGACCTTCCGTACAAACTCCCAGTTTACACGATCGTATGCTTTCTCGAAGTCGAGCTTGAGCAGCACCCCTTGCTGCCTTTTCATTTTAAGCTCATGGACGATCTCGTGGAGGGCGATAGGGCCCTCCAAAATATTCCGTCCTTTGAGAAAAGCCGTTTGACTTCTAAGAATGACCTGCTGCGCAACGAGGGCCAGACGAGTCACGTAGGCCTTGGCGCAGATCTTGAAAGGCACGCTGATCAGCGTGATGGGTCGGAAAAGTTTGATGCAATCAGCCCCTTTAACCTTTGGAATAAGTCTAATGACCCCAAAATTGAGGCGTGAGACGCCTACCGTTCATAGCGCAAACCCATTCACAATGTCAAGAAAAATGGGCCGAAGCATAGGCCAAAATCTGCAGAAGAATTCGACAGGCCAGCCGTCAGGGCCGGGAGCCGTGCCTTTCTTCATGCCCATCAGGGCGGCGTCAACTTCTTCCGGGAGAAATGAGAGCGCCAGGCTCTCATTCTCCTGCGATGACACCCTATCCTGAGGATCCCACAAATCCTCACGGATACAGAGTTTTTTCTCGTCTGTCGTACCCAACAGACCAACAAAATACTCGTAAATGTGGCGGGCAATTTCTCCCTGGGAGAGGAGGAGGCCCTGGTCCAACTAGACGAAGGATCGTGCTCTTACGCTCCCTACCGTTAGCATATGCATGAAAATAAGTTGTGTTAGCGTCACCCTTAGTCACCCACTTAATGCCGCCCTACGACGCCAGTATTCTTCTTCCGCAAGCAACAGTTATTACTTGTCGAATACAAAAGAAGGAACAATTTATTTGTGACAAAGAGCACACTCATGTAGAGTATATAACACAATTACTCGAGCTGAAAAAAAAAGCAGAACTAAACATAATAAGTGAGACATCTAAATCTACCCTTGAGGCTCCTGCTGACCATCAGCTCCATGCCATGCCCAGACAAATGTCCTTCAGTGCTGGCCGGATGCTCTCCTCCAATAGCTTCTGGTACTCCAGTGAATCGCCGCTTGTTTGTTTCATCTCAATGAGATGGTACGAGGGGCTGATCTCAAAGATCTCCGAGTCAAACTGAAGAACACCATTCCTGCCTTCCTTCCTCACTTGCATCTTGACAACACCATTATCCTTCTTCCTCACCCTGAGATTCAGCGTCTTCGCGACGGCTTCCAGCTTCGAGACAATGGCTGAGGCAGGCTGTTCTGAAGTGAACCTTGCTTCCTTTTTGCTCTCCTTCTCGACGAATAGGCCAGAGAGGTCAAACCCTGTGGAGAAAGAGATGATTTCAAAGGCATTTAAATTTGTCACTGCCAGGGGCTTCCCGTCTTCATGGCTGTTCTTCCTGCGCCTCACACCAAGTGTTGGGACAGCATCTGTGGTGGCATTCTCACTTGGCAGTCTCTCCTTCGCTGTAAGGTTCTCCCCGGGACCTTTCCGGAACCAGGTGGACTCCTTTATCTTCTGGATTGATATCCTCTTGTTCGGATCAGGGTCCATGATCTTGTACAACAGCTTCTGAAGTTTTTGGGAAACCCAGCCAGGGCACTTGAAATCGCCTTTCTCAATCTTCCGGTACATCTCTATCAAGTTCTGACCTTGGAAAGGGAGGTAACCAGCAACAAGAACAAACAGGATGACACCGCAAGACCAGATATCTGATTTTGCACCATCATAGCCTCCCTTGCTGATCACCTCTGGAGCCACATAAGCAGGTGATCCACAGGTGGTGTGGAGCAAGCCATCTTGTCTCTTCGATTCTGAAAGTGCACTCAGCCCAAAATCAGAAACCTTCAGATTTTCATTCTCATCAAGCAGTAGGTTCTCAGGCTTCAAGTCCCGGTGATACACGCCACGGCTGTGGCAGTAATCCACTGCACTGATGAGCTGCTGGAAGTACTTATGTGCAGCACCCTCGGTGAGCTTGCCACCCTTGGAGACCTTGTCAAAGAGCTCACCGCCTTTCATGTACTCCATGACGAAGTAGATCTTGCTTCGTGTCGCCATGACCTCATGGAGCTGAACAATGCTTTTGTGCACTACCAACCGCATGGTTGTGATCTCACGCCTGACCTGCTCCGCGAGCCCGACCTTGAGCACCTTCTCCTTGTCCAAAATCTTTATGGCGACACCTCGGTTTGACTCAAGGTTCTTGGCGTAGTGCACCTTGCCAAATGCTCCTTTCCCTAACAATCTCCCCAGCTCATACCTCCCCATGACGATCTTCCCACTGTTCTCCATGCCTTCAAGAGTATAAGTCACGGCCACTAATATTCTTGTGGCTAGCACTTAAATATGCTACGACACTTCAGCCAGCCTCCCCGAAGTCATGATCCAGCACTCTGGTGGATTCGTCATAGCGGAGTCTGAATGGCGTGGAGTTGATGCAGGCAAGGTGGTTGCTCACATCAAGAGGTGACCAAATGGGCCCACGCAGAGTGGTGATGTTCTTGGTCTCGCAGAAGAAATCTCTTCTATGCAAGCACATCTTTCAGCATTCCTTGAGACTTTGATTTCTTGTTTAGGATGAGTTCCCTGAAAAAGAAGTAACATTCAGATTTGGCAGTCACAGATTTAATAATACGTAACAAGTATAAGTACTACCAAGTACTAGTATGAATGATTGAAGAGAAAAGTAGAGATGGATGGAAAGAAAATCGAATTCAGGCATAAGTTGATCAGGAGCAAACAGAAAAAAATATTACTACTAGGCCTGCATGGATTTCAGAGTTCAAAGATGAAAAAAAATCAAGTGATTCCTTCATCAGTAGCGCTGAATTGCTATGACTTCTGAAACCCTGACTACCTCTAACAAACTAGGTATCGGGAGACGACGGCGCCTACCAGCGATCCGGCAAGAGGGACGGATCACATGATGAGATTAGGATCCCACACGAAAGCAACAGAGAAAAACTGTGCTACCTTTGTGCACCTAATGATTCGACACCTAGCAGCAGGACTCTTCCAGATAAACTGGGTCGAATTTCGAAATCTGACCGCACGGGGCGCAGATTATTGGAAGAATGTACTACCTCCGGGCTGGACCGAGAGAAAACCAGACAACGGAGAACTCCAAAATCTAGGCGAACTAGCACGGAACAGAAGGCCCGGTTCCCCCTTGTCCAATCAATGTGCCCCTATCCGCACGCCAGAGATTTTCTTCTTTCTCAAGAAGATCCATCGACATCACAATGCATATTGGCAATCAAGAAAAGTTGAACCCCACGGACGGACCGACGACGAGATCCAATGCAGGCACGCGGCAGGAAAGGAAGCGGGGGCGACAGGGAAGAGAGCTAGCCACCGTACCTTCCGGCGCCGCCGCGGATACGATGAGGCGGGAGCCGAGAGACTTGCGCCGGCGCGCCACGCGGGGTTCTGGTTCTCCTTTTCTTGGGGCTTGCGGGGCTGAGTCGGGTTCCCAGTGTGTTGGGGTTGTGAGGTGAGCGGCCTCCGGCGACCCCGCGTTTTATATATCGAGGCTCGAGGTGCGGAGGCGCGGAGCGGAGGAGGTTAGGAAAGGAAAGGAGATGATGAGATGAGGACACCACGTGGACGCCGACGCGGTATGACCAGACTGCCCCTCCCGGCCCGGCCTGCGGTTCCAGGGCTCCGCATCGCACCAAACGCATATTCCGGTTTTCTTTTTCTCTCGCTGGTCTTTTTAATCCAGGAATCCATCCACGCCCATCGATTTTAAATTTAAGTAATCACAAAAACGAACAAATCTTGTGCTCCATCAAGGCCGCAAATACAAGAAACAGGCACAAATCTTTTGCAGTTATTACTCCAAAAAAAAGGAAATCTTTTGCAATTTATTTATTATACAAGAAATATGCACAGATACATCAAGGCTCTACCGTGACCACCCTGGAGCCGTGTCCTTTTTGGTAATTCGTAGCCAGGAGCCCAGGATAGATGGCGTCTCAGGTGACAGCAGGGCACAGTAAGTAACCAGCTAGGACGCGGCCAACGCTCTTTTGTTTTTCTGGCGATCCACTCCGTGCCAATCGAGGCCGCCGCTCAATGCATGATGCATGTGTGGCCGTGTGATTTTTCTACGTGGTTGTGATCGCCCTTATCTTTATCCTATGCACTGCTGAGTCAAGGGCAGCCTGTTCCTTGGACCAGCCATGATGCCGCGTTACATTTTCATGTGATGGAGATTGAACAACCAACCATATACGTAAATGGACACAGTAGCCCCCATCAGGAAAACCATGGATGCCCCAGCCCATAGCATAGGTCGAGTTGTGCAATACCTATCGCTCAGATGCACATGGACAGGGCAGGCCGTGAATTATTGGGTGAATTCTAGTTTCTACCACCCACTTTGATTTTTTATCCCTAAGAAAAACCTACTTTGATTTTTTTTACGCTAATATCCTCATTTAATAGCTGTTCATTCGAACTACCCACCAAAGGAAAGTTTTGCCGGTTTTGTACCACCTTTGCAGTGCTTTAGGTTGCGATGGTTTCTCTTGTGGTTCTTTTGCCGTACAAAACCGTTGATAGGGTTATGTCTGGTATGCATCAATGAGGTGGAAACTATGAACAAGAAGTTGTGTGGCGTAAAAAAAGTAACTCAACAAGGCAAAGCGGCGCATTCATACACATGATGACCGTGAGAAAAAAAAATGTGTTTAACTAAGCCACTTGGCCAGTTCAGGCATGGGAAAATGCCGGAAGGAAAATTGCAACGTGGCACGACACATGCACATGATGAGCGGGGCTCACCTAATAGATCACTAAATAGGATTTTAAAAGTGGCAAAGTTTTTGTTAAATGTGGTAAAAATGAAAAAAAATCACTAAATGAGGTAATCCATAAGGAAAAAATACTAAATGTCAAAAATATAGACGTATGAGGTAAAACTTGGAATTCACACTTACTTAGCAATCCACCTTATGTTACTTTGAGCAGAGTTTTTACAAATAGTATGCTCTATTCTGAATGTGGTGCCCAGTTAACTGTTTGGTTTATTTGTTGTGGTGTCCAGTTAATTATGTATGTGAAATTTGACTAAAGGTTGTTTTACTATACTAATATTTTTAGGGATTTTACCAAGAGTTGAGACTACGGAAAAATATATTATACGAACCAGTGTGCAAATGCAATCTTATGGAACTTCCTACATTTATGGTCATTCAAAAACATTTTTTGAATTAAAGACGTCTGACCATACTTCAGCTCCATGGAAAATGGATGTATAACCATCATGAAGGAAGTCCCCTTTTTAGGGAGAAAAGGAAAAGTGATTAGGATCGAAAGGAACTGAATGGCATTTTTGAAATGGACAAAATATGACACTCAATAATGGATGGATGACAATAAAGTCATGACGCCACATGCAGCCACCATCAACCATGAACAGCAAACCATCTTATTGCATCTTTTTGAATAAATTGCAAGGAAAGATGCCAGCTACACTTAAATTTTGTCTACTATACTGATGCGGAGGAGAGTGGTCCATATTATCTCCTTGATGATTGCAAGGAAATTTGTCGATGACATTGTGTAGATAGGCTACTGATGTCGCAAAATAAAGAGTGGGGGACATTTGGTCCCTTGTCTATGATGTGATTTTGATTTATATTTACCACCACAATGGATAGAAGTACATATGAAAACTTGGGAAAAATCAATACAAAATAGTGAACATTAAACTTGGATAATGCGTAACACTGCACCTGAACTGCAATAGGTGTCGATTTAGATACTGACAAGGTTTTTAAAGTAACTTCTGATCAAATTTAATGAAAGTGATTGGAAGGACCTCCTCGCCCCGTCGCTCCCGCGAGCGGCGGAAGGCGAGCTCCCAGCCCCGACCTTCCCCGTTCCCCTCCCCCCCTCCTCCTTGCCGCCGCCAAAGGCACCGCCAGGCGAAGCCTGACCAGCGTCAGCAGCAGCGGGGCTTCCTTCTCCCCTCGTACGGCGGTGGAGGAGCGGGTCTTGGCCGGTCATAGGGGGCGCGGTGCTTCGGGCGGGGCACGGCGGCGATTCTGCGCGGCGCTGGTGGCGCTTGCCTGTGTCGGAGTCGCAGAGGCTGCCCGGGGTGTCCTTGCTCGGCGATGGCAACGCACCAGATCTGGGGCGGCGGCGTGCGGTTCAGCCCCCAACCAGATCCGCCTGGCTCTGCAGCTGGGGGGCGACGAGCGGCGCGGGGGTGGTTGGTGGCCTGGCTGGGCTGCGTGGTGGCGGTGCCCGTCGCGGCCGTGGCGGCCCGATCTGGTTTGTTCCGGGCCCGATTCGGGCGGCGGTGGCGACGGATGGCTCGGTGGCCGCTGGTGGCTTCTCCTCCTGCCCCTGGAGATCCTCCTGCCTCCATGGGTGGCTGCTGCGTGGCCGCAGGGCAGGTGGCGGCGCGTCCGACTCAGATCTGGCGGTGGGATCTGGGTGGGCGGTGCGGGTGGGGCTGCGGCCTGGTGTAGCCGTGGCTCCGCCCGTGGACGGCGGCGCGTGGAGGCTCGACTCATGGTGGTGGTCTCCCAAGGGCGCGGCGATTACACGGTGGTTTGGCGGATCTGCCCGCACCGACGGCCGGCTATCTCCGGTGTCGGCTCGTTTGCGGTCGGACCGCTTCGACCGTAGCTCCATCTACTCGTCGCCCGGACGTTACTTCGGTCCTGGGGCTGGCCCTCTCCCAGCTGCGGTCCTTCGCTCGTCTCGCGCCCGGAGCTGCGGGACGGAGCTCGTCTCGCGCCCGGCACCAGGACGGAGCTCGTCTCGCGCCAGGCAGCAGGACAGAGCTCGTCTCGCGACCGGCAGCTGGACGGCGCTCGTCTCGCGCCCGACATCAGGACTGAGCTCGTCTCGCGCTCGGGGCTGCAGGACGAGCGATGGAGGCCAGTTTTGGCCGGCCTATTGGGTCTCGGCGCTGGGGGTCGTCCAGGGGTGCGAAAGGCGGGACCTTTCCACTCGTCTCTTTGGTTGGGGTAGCGGCGGGTCGGTGAGGTGGTGTCGAGGTCTTGGATACTGGGGCGGCGGCCCTGGTGGTGGTGGTTGCGCGGTGCTCTTGGACAAAGCCCGTGCCTTGGTGCTTCCCGGTCATCATGGTCGTGTGGGCGGCGTGGTTTGCCGGGGTGTGGCGTTCGGTGGCGCTAATTGTGGGCCGAGGTGAAAACCTGCTCTATCTTCGGACGGACCGGCGGCGGCGAAGATCGTTCCCTTCTTGAAGGCGTCGTCGAGGCTCTCATTGCCCGTCATGCGGCTCCGGGGGAAACTCTGATCCTTGAATCAGG